GATGTCTTTTTGGTTTTATATACTACTTCTCTTAGTGAATCAAATTACAAAATCTCTTCAAACAATTCTTGTTGAAACTCACTAATCCCCTCTTTTCTCTCTTTCTCTCAAAATTCCTAACTTTAATTCTTCTTCAAAGATCCCTATCTCCCAAGAAGTTGAAAACCCTAGTTCATTCAGCTTCTCATTTCCTACTCCAGAAGGCTACAAAGAAATCTCATGTGAAAAGGGAGAAAATTAGAAAATAGGTGGCTGGAAATGAAAACCCATAAAGGGACCAGGTTCCTAGGGTTCAAAAACAAAGTGAAGAAAAGAAAATGTCAAGGGAAGATCGCATAGCGGAGGTGAAAAAGCAAAATGTGCTGAACGAAAGAGTCTTTGATCCAGATATACTCGCTGCTTATGTTATGTCAAACCTTTCTAATGTTGTTTTCTTGCAAGAGTGGAGTCATTTGTTCGAAGCACCTGCTCCGTATCTTCATGAACCTGAAGTGCGAGAATTTAATTATAAGATGGAATTGTTAGAGGATAGGGGGGTCAAGACTACTGTTTAGGATATTGAAATTCTTCTAGTTGTGAAGGCACTTGGTATCATTCTGGGTGTGCCAGTAAAGGGGGTGAGGTCCATTGAAGGGTGTAAACCCTCTAGTGAGTTCTCTACAAGGGCCACCAAGTGTGGAGATATCAAACGTGATGGAATTCCATACAGGTATTTGCTGAACTACGTGTTTAACCACTTTGAGGTACCGATGGGACGAGGAGTACCTGGTACCATCAAACAGATGTTCACTACAGTCACCCTGCTGGAGTGTGAGTGTGTGGAAGGTAAGACTAAGGGAAGGTCAATAGTGGCAGATGTCCTGGAACAGCAAGCATCTCTCAAATGTGAAGTGACTGATCTTACTGCAATTCTGAATGATAAAGAGGTGGAAATTGTAACGCTGAAGGCAAAATTGCAGAAATATGTCTCAGGAGGACCTGGTACCAGTGATGGAAATGAGAATGTGTTACAAAAGTTGAAGGATGAAAATGAGGTTGATGAAGGCTCATGAGGATGCAAATGAGCGTCTGTCTCTGTTTATGCGCACCCTCAATCCCTTTCCCCCTCCGTCCTAAAAGTGTCTTGTTTTCCTAGTTTCCCTCTTTGTTCTTCAATCTTGATTAAAACTCTTGTGGCTTTATGTTTTGTTGACTAACTACAGTGGTCAGTATCTGTGATCTAATGCTATTTATGTTTCTTCCATGTTCATGTGTGGCTTAATATTCTCTTTATGCTTACATACACATGTTCTGTGTGGCCCAAGGCTCTGAATTCTTTTTTTATTAACATTTTAACTTGCATATGTTTACTGCTTCGCCTTTTCAATGATGTCAAAAGGGGGAAGTTTGGTGCAATTGGCCAAGGATTAAAGGGGAACTGATATTAAGTTTGGTGCAATTGGGGGAACTGGATGTTGTGAACTGACTGAACTAATAGGATGGACTGACTGCTATGCTGTTGTCTTAAGGAGGAACTGATATCAGTAAGGAGGAACTAATAGGATGGCCACTCTAATTAGTTGATTTCTATAACTGGCCAATTGAGCAATTGATTTTTGAATGAATGTCTACTCACTCGAGTGAGGAGTTGTTTATGTAGGTTCTTTGTTATCATCGAAAAGGGGGAAATTGATAAGAGCTTTTATCCTTTGGTGTTTTGATGATCTCCTCACAAGTGCAGGGACGTTGTCCTCTGCAGAGTATGAATCTCGTCTAGTGTCAATATGTTGTACAACTATAAAAGTTGTTTGCGTCAGAAAGTCGGTAAAGCTGCAGAGTACTTCACAAATCAGAAGCGACGAGGTTGCTTGTTCAATTAAAGGGGAAACACCAGTTATTGAATGAATGTTTGTTCACTTACGTGAGGAGTTATACATGTTGTTTGTCATCATCAAAAATGGGGGAATTGATAAGTGCTTATGCTTCTTGATGTTTTGATGATCTCCTCACAAGTGCAGGGACCTGGTCCTCTGCAGAGTATGAATATTCGTCCAATGGTCAAAGTGTTGTACAACTGGAAAGCTGTCTGCATCAGAAGGTTGGTGAAGCTGCAGAGTACTCCACCAATCAGAAGCAACGAGGTTGCTTGTTCATGGGATAATAACTTTTCATGTCTAAATATATCCAAGAACAAACAACAAATTATTCATTCATTCAAAGAGAGAGATATTTCAAGCTTCAAAACAGCAAGGACCTAATCGATTGCTTCAAGTGTTTCCTGTACCAGCTGTTACTTTGTTTGCTTGTAATAGTGCTTATATTGTAGGATTCGTATCACTTGTGAAAGAAATGTTTCAAGTTTGGGTGAATCATTGTAAGAACTAGGTTAAGGGTAACTTAGTGTCTTACTCTAAAGTCTATATTAATCGGTCAGGATTAGTATAGTGGGCAGTGTTGTATCTACTTAGTCAAAGTCTAAATCATCTAGGAGCTAGTTGATTTAGTGGGCGGTGTGGTATCCGCTTAGCAAAGTCTAAGTTATCTAGGGGTGATAGCTTAGTGGCAGTGTTGTATCTGCTCTGACTCATCTAAGTAATAGGTGTTATTGCTTAGAGTTGGGATTAGTAGGCTAATCTCAATTTGTAAACTTGCTTTTACTTTTGCTTGAGAAGATTAGTGAGAGAAGTTTTTTGAAAAGTCCTGGCAGGCCAGGTCGTGGTTTTACTCCCTTGAACAAGGAGGTTTCCACGTAAAGTTGTTGTGCAATCTTTACTTTCAGCACTTTGTTTATTTTCCGTTATTATAACTGTGCTGAGGACCTGGTCCCATCTAGACCAGTGGACGCATACATTCCAACATTGTTAATAGAGGAAAAGATAACAAAGCCAAAATAATTAATTAACTTAAAAGGAAAAAAGCAAAGGAGAGGGGCAGCAGAACGTGAGGGAGGAGATAGAGAAAGCAAGAAAGAAAATTGCAATGAAGATGAACCATAACAAAACATACGGAAAATCCTTCATGTGTCAGCAGCTTGTGGGGTAACCACTAATCTCATTGTATTCCTTCCCAACAATCCAAGTGAATGTATCCCATCCCTCAAATCTGAATCAGTGGTTATCAAAATCCAATCGTCATCTTCATCTTGATACTTTATTGAAAACCTTTCAAGTGATATTTTAAGCCTCTTTTCCACTTCCCCCTCCAATTCTACCCTCGTTGATGAAAGGGAGAGTTGAAATTTTATCATATCACCTCTATATGTAACTTTTAAAGTCATCACAGTATCACAAGGTTTTCCTGTTGCAGGAGATCTTATATTACCCAAATAATCGGTGCCTTTATCTTGGGAAAGAGCAGCACATTGTCGATCGACCACATATGGTTCAGCACCTTGTAAAGATACACCTTGGCTAACATGGACATTAACCTTTCTAGTCTTATGATGTGGCCATCTAGCAATTTCATTTTCTCTACATATTCGTTTCAGTGTTGCTCGACTAACTGCAATAAATGAAGTCCACAAAAGGGATTTCAGTGAACCTATGCATAAATCTTTTCAGATGCGCTAAAGTTAGTGAACTTACCATGTAGATCTTTTGCAGCATCTTCAAGAGTCATGCCATAATGCTGCTCCAGAATCTTGCGAGTAATCCCATGATCTTTTTCTATCCTTTGTATTGCGTTTTTCTTATGTGAATGAATTATCTCGTTGTTAGTCGTTGCATTTCCTGCAGAATTAGTTTCTAAATTTGATTGCTCAAAGTGTGAATCAAGTTGCATTATTTCACTTGTATCCTTAATGTGGTCATCATGTGCTACATCCAAGTTAACTTTTCCTCTGTTTGTCACTGCTTCCTCTATTGGATGAGGAAGTAACGGATCAACTTCCACTGTCCTTTCACAGTTGAGTGAGTGACGTTTGTCTGATGAACAAGAAGTAACCAGTAGTGCAGCAGCAACATTATCCTCCCTGTTCTGTAAATTTGACTGTTGACATAAAGAATCAATTTCTGTTGTTTCTCCTCCATCCTGAACTGATTGAACACTCGACAGACGTTGGCCAATTTCTGTTGTTTCTCCTCCATCCTGAACTGATTCAACACTCGGCAAAGATTGGCCAATTTCAAAGGAGTCAAGTTCATCACTCGGGGAAACTTTAACAACTTCATTTCCAGGAGCAACTATGAAACCTGGAAATTGTTCTTTCATTGTGGATAAAAGCATATTTAAGAAAGTCTTTGCATCTGACAACCATTTCGTTTTGTGGCAGAAAGCACTCAACTACGCAAATAAAATTGTCGGTGAGCTTACTTTGCAAACAAATAGCAAAACTCTGAGTGAATCTAGCTTTTCGTGCACTAGGCAACACAGGGTACTCATTGATGCTTAATAGAGTAACATCTTTGCAAAAATATGAACCTTGGGATGCAAATGCCCTCCCCACCAATGCATCACCACTCTTAATAGAACAGACCCCAGAAGCATACTTAAACTCATCGTACATTGAACTCGAATGTCCATTGATGGAGGCAGCTGCATAATACAGGACTTTTAAATAGCCAGATTGAGAAGGAGTAGTCCAAATTTGAGCAAAGGGTAAACTATGTCTTTCAAGGATCCCATATAACCCGTCCTTTTTTTTGTCAACCGGCAGCTATAAAAAAGATAAGATAAGCTATGAAATTAGAGGGACTGATCGCTTTTTTCTTACTTTCATTTATTTTTATTTCCCAAATTAAAAAAAAAGGCAATAACACCATACCTCTGAAAGTCCAAAAGATATGATTGTTGAGTTAGGCATGTACAACCCTGCTGATTCGAAATTCAAGCACTATGATGGAAAATTAAACAAGGATTATGGAGTTGTTCAAACGGAATATAAACAAAAGTGAATAACCAATGTCGTTGAGCATTCTAAAAATAAAATAAAGAAGAGATGAGCAAATACCGTAATAAACTCGGGAAGATAGGGAAATGGTTCTTTAGTTGCAATCTCAAATACACCAAGGCACTGCTGATCATGGCGGTTGGAAACTGGAAATGCATAATAAGAATGAATTCCCAAGTGAATTGCAGTTTGAAGCAGTGGAAACTCTGCAACGGAGTAGCTTCAGACGTTGGGGTTATATTCTGGCAAGCGTCTTGAGAAAACTCGTCCAGGGGGACCAAATGGAATTTCCCTGTAGCTGTAGCTGTAGAACTTGTTGTCAATGGGAATCAAAGTATCTAGACAGAGCTTCCTGTATGAAGAGAGCCTCTTATCAATTTCGTTATAGAAAGCAAATGGTTGATCTGCAGTGGACAGGAAAATAGATCCATTGACCTTGATGGGTGCCCAGAATTGAACCAGACAAATATTTGGAGTCCACATTTTCTCCATAACAGATTGGATCCTCCATTTCTCAGTTGGAAACATGGAAACAACAGAATAAGCTGAATAAAAAAAAAAGACTTCAAAGATATGCGAGTGTTAATGGATCGCTGGTAGTCCAACTCGTCGTTGTGTTTTATGCTCCAAAATGCCCAGCCATTAGACTTCAGTTGAGACCACTCCAATTTACAAGGCATTAGGTCACATACATCTGAAGGTTGCTGAACAACATGCTCCATACTATACAATTGAATTTCACTGCTTTTGCCCTGTTGCTCTGCCCCTTATATAAGCAAATTTGTGGATAAACTGTCGAACTACTATTTGTTCAATATATAAATATAAATATCACACTAATTAAATAGTATTTAATTACCATTATATTTAGACCCCGGTGCAAATCTATATATATATAAAGGAGGAATATAAAGAAGGTGATATGGCACCTCTCTATGCCTCCGTTCATATTTTTCCCTTCATAAATACCATTTTTATCACACTAATTAAATACCATTACATTTAGACCCGGGTGCAAATGGATCAATAAGCTCAAGAGGTTCAACAAGCTCCACGTTGTACCCAATGTGGAAATTGTCAAAACGAGGGCAAAAAATCCTACTATTTGTTTATTTAGTATAAAAGTGTGAATAATTTCCAAAGATTCATTGTTGCATTATTTTGATTTCAATTAATATTGTTTTGGCCTCTTTTATTTATTCCTTCGTTTTGAACGAAAAAAATTAATAAAAGACATGATTTTCTTTTGGCTTAATCAGCCCAATTTACTTTTTATTGTAATTTGTTGTTTATCATATGTTAAATGTTTCCATTTAGCTAAAACTTTTACCTTTCCATTTTATCCTATTAAATAAATAAAGGGAGAAACTTATCTTGTAAACTTAATTAGAACTTTAAACTTGTCATTTCCTAAAATTAATTTCATAAAAACTTTTACCTTTTCATTTTATCCTATTAAATAAATAAAGGGAGAAACTTATCTTGCAAACTTAATTAGAACTTTAAACTTGTCATTTCTTAAATTAATTTCATAAATTTTCCTTTCTTAAACTAAGAAATATCTCTTTTTCATTATCTATACATATATATATATATATATATATATATATTTTATTTTTTTTATTTTTATTTTATTATATTATATATATATTATTATATAGAAATGTGAAGCCCTGGACGACCAAGGGCAGTTTTGTCAATTTAATAAAATTCCAAGCTTACTTTAAGTGTACATTGTGTATTGAGGGTATTGAACATTCTAGAAAAACCAGCCAAAAATTATCTAATTCCCAATGTATCCACCATTAAGTTGTGGATTCCAATTGTGACAGGTGTACCAAAACATTGGGAGGAGTAAAAGAAATTAATGCAAAGTTAAAATATGGACCCCATTTTTTGATTCACTTCAAAAGTTTATACATTCAAGACCACACTTTTTTTGAAAAAATAAATAATTAATTTCTCATTTGATTTTGTATATACGTATTAGTGTTATTAATTTGACTTCATATTTAATTTTAATGTACTTATCACTTTTAATGAAAAAAATTTCATATTCAAAATTTAAATTCGAGACCTTTTAATTATTTCCTTTCTTAATGTGGTTTGGTCATGAAAATATAGTTTTGTTTATTAAAAAATGTATAGTTAAAGTTGTGTTTGGTCAAATTTTATATAAAAATATAAATATATTTTTTTGAAAGGCATAATACATAAATATGTCATTTAAATTGGTTTCATTTGACATCAATGTCTCTCAATTTTGGATGTGCATAGTAGACGCATAAATTTGTATAGAATCGAACAAGTAGACACATGTGTCCTACTTGACGTCCTACGCGGCGATACAATTCATGTCTTATCCGACACTATGTGGCATCCTACGTGAATTATGTCTCGTAGGACACTTGTGTCTACTTGTTCAACTTTATATAAGTTTAAATGGTAACATGTGCACACTCGAAATTAAATGACATAGATGTTAAGTGCGGTCAAGTTAAAAGACATATTTATATATTATATCTTTTAAAATATGGTCTACATTCCTCATTTTCTAAAAATTACTTGACTAATTTACCTGGGAGATACAACCAAATTGCACCAAAAGAGTAATATATCAAAATTAATAATCGTATAATGACATAGATTATATCTCATATAAGAACTACTACATACTATTACAAAAAAAATCCAAATTATTTTTCAAAAAAATTAAGTTGAATTTGTGTTAAGTTATTGATTTTGCAAATAATATTTGATTATTTGAATATGTTTTTCTAAAAATGAAATAAAATATGAAATATAATTAAAATGGAGCCATTTTTATAAAAATTAATAATTTAGGATAATTTTTTTAAAAATATATAGTTAAAGTATTGAAAAAGTTCTGAATGTTTTTCAAATTTCAAATAGAACTTTAAGTTATATTTGTAATTTTTATAATCAAACTCTGATTTTCAAATAAATAAAGTGAAATAAAAAGATTATCTATTTTTTGTGTTAATTTATTTTCATATTTATAAAAAATAAATAATCAAATATAATATTTATTATCTTAAGAAATAAGATATAATTTAATTTTCTTTTTCATGGTTATACTACTTTAAATGTGAAAAGTGATAATGTGGTTAAGAAAAAGTAGAACACAATTAATTCACTCAAATTGTTTGTTGAATTATTATCATTAGATGAGTTAAAAACCATTAAATTTAAATTAACTTTTTAATTCGAATGTGTATGTTTGGCATTCGGTTAAAATAACCATTGGATCATATGATATTGTAGTGTTAATTAAGACAATTTAAATAAGTTACTATATTATTTGATAAAAATAATAATATTTTATTGTAAAATGTGATTTTTATTATCATTTTACTATTGTTTTTGTTAGAAAAAATATTGATGACAATTTTTCTTTTAAAAAAACTAATTAAATAGTTATAATTACCCTACATTAAAACCGCTAATATATTTAAGATTGTAAATTGTAATATTGGACCCGTTAACGGGCCTTTTCATATCTAGTATATATATATATATATATATATATATATATATATATTCACTCTCGTAATTTATATTTTTTTATCTTCATAACTTATATTTCTATAATCTCTATACCTCCTCATAAAATGTAATAAAGGGAAAGAATGCAACTGTACTAAAATACATGTTATCAAAGAAGAGGAAGACATTAAAGAAATTGAATTATTAGAATTAAGTTTATCTGATATACAAATAGAGAAAAGTTATGACTTAATAGAGATAAATACTGAACTTTATAATTTTAAGAAAGGATTACAACATATAGGAGTCATAAAAAACCAGAAAGACCTAGATGAAGTAATTTCCATCTTAGATAAACTAGAAATAATTGGAGAAAAACCCCTGAAGCACTGGGAAGCCAATCATATAACCTGCAGACTTGTTATTATTAACCCGGAGTATATTGTTAACTGCTTCAATAGAATCCACGAATGAAGACCTGAGAGAATTTGAATATCAAATAAAAGAATTATTAAATTTAGGGATAATAAGGAGGTCGACTTCAAAACATCGGTCAGCCGCATTCATGGTGAGAAATCATAATGAAATACTAAGAGGAAAAGCTAGAATGGTAATAAACTACAAAAGACTTAATGACAATACAAGAATGGATGGATATAAATTGTCAGACAAATCAGAATTAATAAATCGAATACAAGGAAGAAAATTTTTTAGTAAGTTTGACTGTAAATCTGGATATTGGCAAGTTAAAATGCAAGAAGATAACATCGAATGGACAGCGTTTACTTGCCCAGAAGGCCATTTCGAATGGCTGGTGATGCCCTTCGGTTTAAAAACAGCCCCTCCGATCTTTCAAAGAAAGATGGATAATATATTTAGA